CCCAGAACAGGATTGGCATCGACCAACGCTTCATAACATCTCCATGTGGCGGTATCGACCAATCCCAACCAAGGGTCCCCTAAAAAGGTCCCTTACTGACCTCCTGCAGCGACTCGAGCAACAAGGTTGTATTAAAACCGTAATTGCTAGTACCTACCTGTCACCAGGAGGGGGAGTCGCGAAACCTGGAAAACCCAACGAAGCCCAGCTAGTCGTCGATTATAGGGAGGCCAACAAAAGATGTCAAGTGTGAATTGTTAGGATTCCTCAAGGTACTGAAGCATTGTCTGACACACCATGACGATACGCTCCCAGTTCCAATTATCGCAATCGACTCGCAGTATATTTACAAGATTCTTACTGGTACAGCCCTTCCCACCGAAAATTTGGATGATTGGCAAGACATCTGGAAAACGTTAACTAAGTTTGCACGGCTCCCATTGGTTCGGCACACTAAGTCACATCGTCCGGACACTGACCCAGTGCATGAGGTCATCGATAAACTCTTAGAAGACCCACTTCAGACCGACGTAGTGTTACCCATTACCACTAACTCTGGTACTGAAGTAAGTCCGTTCCTTGCTTGGCTTCAGGAAAATTGGGGTCACCCGGGACCGTGAGCTTGCCATCAACGTTGGCGCCAAACCATTACGGAGCCGGCCTTGTATGGAGTTCGGCGCGGTTGGGAAAAGGTAGCTCAGGCCTGTGAGATATGTGCTAAGGAGAAGTGTCATCGAACCAAACATCAGCTTGGAGCTTTCGACTCTTCGCAGTTCCAGGCAGGAAAAGTCTGGCAGGTAGATCTGCTAGGACCCCTCCCAGGGTCTAAGCCGCCAAATAAAGGATTAGTCGTCATCGACTTGGGAACAAGACAGTTACAAGTCATTCCCTTACAAAAAAGCAATGCCACTGCTGTTGTTTCTGCTTTAACTGCTGTATTTGCCACCTGGCAACCTCCTCATGAGATTCAGTCTGATGGGGGACCCCCTTTTAACTCTAATGCTCTAGACAAATTTGCTCGTCTTCACAATGTAGCATGGCAACTCCATCTGCCGTACCACCTGCAGTCCAATGGCGTTGTAGAAAGACACATAGGCCTATACAAAGAACAACTTCGTCTTAGAGGGGGAGGGACGTTTAAAAACTGGACTAAATTCAATCATGATGTTCTCATCTCACTGAACACCGC